AGATAAAATTGTTCGGCTATGTAGAATATGATATATACCTATATGCTATGTAAGATGAGAAGAGGTCAGAGTGGGAATATTCTAAGAGTGGGCGTAGATAAATATCACTATGTTCGTTCGTGCAGATAGCAGTACCTACTTAGCCAATGCCACTCTTGAAAGATGGTCGCATTGCCTGCGACCTACAGTACATGTCTAACTCGACGAACTGGTTTGTCTCACCAATCAGACAGACCGACGCATACAGTAGCCAGCCATTAACACCGCCTGCCCAGTCAAAATCAGTATAGCTATACGCATCTCAATCAACGATCGTCCGTTTCCACGTCGTTTCTATGGCATTCGTGGGGGGACTACTGCAAGTGGTGGGTATCACCTCAGTGGCAACATCGGTGTGGCAGAGTCCTAGCAGAGAAGCTATCGGGCAAAACAAGGTAAATATTCCTCGATTTCACAACTAACATACTGGTATTATTTTATGCTTTATTATGTACAACACTGTATATTTTGTAAAACAGTTCATCGTATGTACTTATAAGTAAGGGCGAGAATATATAGGTAGCGTGATGTATACGCGATAGGTTGTACGCTACCTACTAAAGCATTTAGTAGTCATCGGTTTCGATTGTTCTCTCCGTTCTAGTTAGCGTAGAGTTTGGTAAACCTATTAGTGTAGAACGGCTGAAATAAGCGTCTCTGCTGGGTGCGTGCGACTACTAAGTCAAATCTGTAACCTGTGACCGTATGTATCAACACCAGGGTTTTGACCAGTTGTCTCACAGAGTTTCTTTACCAAGGTTACAGTAGGTATCTATAAATTGCGACGAGTTTAAAACTGGCCGCGGACTTGTCAGGTACACGTGGCTGGCCCCCAGAAAATATGGATAGGGGCCAAAGCAGACAACTGGGCATTTTCCTGTTTGCCTAGCACTAGACACCCCATGCCATGTAGGTAGTGTAATGGAAACTCGTCACAGTTATTGCTCTTCGTTTGTGACGGTTCGCGACACAACATGATAGAGTATTGTCACAAGACTTGAACGTCCTGTTTGGTTGCGCGCACCCAAGTTCAGGATTCTGTGATTAGCATGGTGCAGTATGCACGAAGACAGGCCTCTAAAACCCCTGAACCTGGCCAATCGTTTCCAGGTTTCCAGCTGCCGGGCTTAAATCTTTGTTCTGCTACCTAACTGTTGGTCAGGGGGATGTGCAACGGCGCAAGCCCCTCCAGATTGCCCTGTCAATAATAACGGGTAGTATTACCTACTTAACCTGCCTACACTCACCATGTCTCTGTTCTCTGCTGTACACTCGACACTATCGTATACTCCAAATAGTACTGTAGAGAACATAGGGACGGCTAGGATGCCTATTTACGTAGCTACCTAGAATTCTCTATTATACATAGATATAAAACAGTAATGTGCAGGTGTAGAATACGAGATACATATAATATGTAGTGCAAGTTATTCGGATTGCTCTGCTCCAACGAGTTTAGAGCAGTCACTATAGGATGAATCCCTCCACTTTCTATACACTATTGTAGGCCTAGTGTAAGTCTATTTTTTCTCCATACTAAGTAAGTGCTGTAGGTATGTTTTTCATAATGGACTAGATGGCCTCGATGGCGTTTTCAGGAGCTACAGTAGCGTAGTAGATATGTAGTGTACATTGATCCTATCGCCACCCTACACTACTACGGTAGGTATTTTTTTTTTTTCCCAGATACACAATCACGCTACTAGTACAATGCTATGAGCGGCCTACTAATTGGCCGTTCGGATGAGGTAGTCTGACCCCGTCTACCTATAACAGCATAGTGTAGCTGCACTATGTAGGATACTGAAATTAAATATGTGAATGTGCAAGGATCAGTCGACTATCATCGAGCAAGCCGTGCAGTCGGCGTAATCGACAAGGTCAGAATGAATACCTACCTACCTACACTACTGCTCTACTTCATACTGTACATTGCACTCTCTCTTTTTTCCCTTTTCACGCCGCTTCTTGCTACCAGGCAGTTGGCCATCTTTCTTTCTGTTTTTTTCTACAACCTTACGAGATACTGGTTGAGACGAATTGAGACGTCTCTTGTGTTTCTTGAAGAAGAGCAACGCGACCTGATCATCATTCCTCCACGCCTCTTGCTTGCGTGAGCTGGGCTTCACTGAATCAGCCTGAGAACAGCAGGTTTTGCTCTCACTATTTCACGTTCAGTATGACGTTTTGAAGGCAACTGGAAGAACTAGGGCTCTTGTTTTGGGTTATGTCTAGGTGTGCGCCGTCGTGTTTCTACACCAAGGGATAAATCTGAACGCTTTGCGCAACTTGCGGAGTAACCGTACGACTGGTCATCCACACTCCTAAGTCGCCACCGTCTCAATGGAGGACATTCTTCTTATGCCCCCAGATCGGGGCACGATATTAGGACGGCCTGTTTGGAAGGTATCTAATTGTCACTCACTGGGCATAGTACCCTTTTGTTCCGTTCGTTACTAATAAATTTCATTCTCAGCCACGTTACGTCGTCTTTGGCTCTTTGTCGCAAAGAGATGGTCATCAGCCAAACCTCTCACTATCACAGGTTTTGTCCGCTGGTCGCAGCAGAGATGCGAGCGGCTGGTCCTCGAGGTCGCAGTTGAGGAGTCCAACAGATGTCATATATCTTTCAGTTTACAAGTCCAAGGTGCGGCCGTTGTGGTTCAAATATACAGGCTGCATTTGCTAACACACCGGCAGGAGGATACCGAACCCATTCATCAACACTCGATTGCGTCAATTACAGATTGCCAAGTGCAACATGTTTCTCACCGGAAGCAGGGCCATATTCCTACTCTCACGATTCAGATTTCCCCCGATCCAGCAACCGATAAGCTGCGAAAGCGTCGATCGAGCAGATCCGGAGGACTGATGTCAAGCAAGGACTCGGGCCCATCAACACTGTTGTTCCACGCTTCTGAGGGGTCGCAATATGGCTTGGAGGACTGGGCGAGGTACATCCAGTTGGTCATGCAGCGTCACCAATCCATGCCTATCAGTCCAATCAGTCCCACGTCACCGGCCTTCATAAGTCCATTCCCTACGATTCCAGATGTTGCTGAGAAGTCATCACCTGCCTCTAATGCGAAGGCGAAGGGAAAATTGAGATCAAAGCTACAACCAAAATCATCAGGTAGAACCCTTCCTTCGACACGCGATCAAAGCTCGACGTACAGTCCTGGGTCTCCCAGTCTTCGCTCCCGTAAGAGTGATCTATCTTCCCAAGCTAGCTCTATGGTGCCAGCTGCCATGAATTTTGTGCAGCAGCATTATGCCAACCTGCAACACTCTGAGCTGCCTTCGCCGGCTTCCACTGTAGATGAATATCCGGAGCACTTCATAGGAGGATGGACAATGGCACAGGGACGATCATCGACTGTGAGCTCTCCTATCATGGGCCGAGCAAGCATAAGCTCCTCTCAGAGTCCTCTTCAGCCGAACTTGGAGTCCAGTCCACCTTTGGCGCCTCGTGAGACCATTCTTGACAGGGCTTTTCAGATGCGATGTATCCCCGGCTCCGAACGAGAGATTGCAGGGGAGGAAAAACTCACCTCGTTAGCAAGATTCGAAGCACTGATGCGTGAAACAGAAAGTCGTCCAAAGAACACGAGGGAGAAAGAAATAGAGCAAGAACCTATGAGGAGCACATGGGAAGAGGATGATAGTGACGATGACGATGCGCTTGATAGGGATGTTGATGACGACGATGAAGATAGCGACGACTACTCCCTTGAACACGCTGACCACGACGGAATGGACGCGTCAACATTCAAAGCCCTTCGTTTCATCACCAGCCGCCACAACTCGATATACAGCGATTCTGGGCTGAGAAATGCACCATCTGTTTTACGGCCACACACGTCACACTCGCGATCTCGGCCCACGGCCCAGCGAACCAGCAGCCAGCCCTATATTTCGGGCCCATCACTACACAGCCCGTCATCCCCTCCGCCGAGACAACATGATATTACTGCAATTCGACGGACTCATGAGAAGCGACATTCCACCTCTGAGATGAAGAATCTTAGTTTCAACGAGTTCACGAAAAGGTTGAGTGGTACAAGCAGTTTACTGATACAGTCAAATGCGAGTACTAGCAGCAATCGTGGTAGTGGCGACTATGACACACATACTCCCCGCGGGTCTATTGGCCCTCGAGGAACTAGTCAGACTTCTGATGAGCGCTGTCGATGGCGAGGCAGTATCGGTGTAATCGGAAATGATGGCGGGTTTTTATGATTTGGCAACTACCGCACACACACATACGCATGACATTACTTTGCAGATTTTCTTCGGCGTCTCAGGACTCTCGACTGTATTAATTACCATCTCCCCCCCACGGCTCATTTTGTATGACCTTACGATAATGGATAGGGGACCCAGCGTTGCGCGATATTAGACGCCGTAGCGTGTCAGTTTTTTTTTACGATTTTTACAGCTTACGACACGATGCTGATACCCCTTTCAACAACTTCTTACTGGCTATTCGAGGACACGACTGGAAACAACTGAACAGAAGGTCTAAAAGTGGATTACTATGTTTGCAATGTAATGATTTGGATCTTAGAGAGAAGAGCTAGGGAATTTGGACTGAAAAGAGTTTTGAAGTTCTCCCGCTCTGTACTAGACTTAAATTATTATATTTTCCATTCCTTTTTACTTATTTGGTGACTGTAAACGGAAGAGCAAACCAATACGGTCAGCATTAGGAGGGTTTTTATTTGAAGTCATGAGAGATGCCGATACCCCTTCTTACTCAAAATGAATATAAAAAAACTATTTACCAAACCAGCTTACTGGATTTTAGGTTTGGCACAATGATTCTATCCATGTTCACCTTTTCAGCGCCTGCTTGCCCCCTATAAAATACAAGTTACACTAGATTACCGATACATTTATTCTTCGGGCATAAGGGAAAAAAATAGTTGACTTGGCAATGACAGCAACATCGTACAATTTGATGGACGAACGGGGATTTGAACCCCGGACCCTTCGCAGGCAGTGTGCTCTTTCATCATGTATTCTCACGACGACGAGACTATGCAAAGCGAATATCATACCCCTAGACCATTCGCCCAATGGAATCAATTGCATCGATCACGGGACTCGAACCCGCAACCCCAGACTTAGGAGGTCTGTACGCTACCATTGCGCCAAATCGACGGTCGGAAATTCCCGGCTCTTATTGGGATATAGATTCTGAGCCTAGGCCGTCTAGAAGCGGAGCCCGGGCGGACATTTGCTGGACAAATCGTGTTTGATAACTACCAGTTAATGAATCTGAGAGTCTAATGAAAAAGCTTCTTCTTCTTTTCCCCTTGGTAGTCATTTTGCTATTGCTCTGTTGTGCTTTGAAAGTCAAAGTAGGAAAGGAAAGACGCTTGGCTGAAAAAGCGAAAATCGCTAAGAAACGTATAATGCATTGAACTTCTTGTCGTCGCACCAGGTAGTGGCATGATACTTCAAGACTGAAGAGTCAAATGTATGTATTTGAAGGCTGGATCACAACTCTACATGTTTAATTTCTTCGTGCGACAACGACAATTCGTGGATTAGGTACCTTGTACTCTGTTTTTTTGAAGCCCCTGACAGGTAGTACAACCAACCAGTAAGCTCTCTTAAGCGAAGGTTTGTTTCGACTCCGAAAAAAGCTAAGACTTTACTTCTATATTCTCAATTTCTATTTTCTCATATAGTTATCCTATCAGATTCCGCATAAAACCCCTCGTATTATTTATCACTGGGATATGTGTTGTGTGATTAAAAGCATTCCAACTGAGTGTCCCGCAGCTCTCCGCATATGACGACCACAGGCCGCCCTAGGGCAGCGAGCTACTGTAAGTGTGGCTTGACAGTGCTTTCTCAAGAATGGACTTCCCTGTTTAGACCATGTCCGAGAAATCGAGCCAATGAGACAAACGTAGAGCGCCACCCAGTGACGTATATGCCACACCCCTCCAGACAGACTTAATGCAGACTGTACCTAGGTAAAGACAGCCTGAACCACCTGAGTTTGCACCATCGCTGAACGGCCACATCAGAAAAGGTGGGATGACAAAAACCTGCTCATGATTCGACTTCATCATGTGTGAGGTCATAGGTGGTCATTAGGTAGATATCTGAAGTAGTACAGTATATGTAATCATTCAGAACCCAAAGCTCATATGTGCATCATGTCTTGACCTTTTATTGTCTTTTCTCATATTAACCCTCTCCGCTCATACCAAACCGAGTAAGCATCAACTTCAAATATCTACCACGGCAAATAGGAGAATATAAACGATTTGAAAGACTATCTACCCCGAGAGCAAATCCAGTAAGCGAAACCACATGCATTCAAGCCTTGTAGTTGAACTGGCAACCAAAACCTACTTACTCACACCAATTGCAGCAATGGCAGACATCAAACTGAACAAGGATGAAGAAGAGGAAAAGAAGAAGAGTCAAAGCACAATAGAGTGGGCAAAGGAGAAGTACAACGAGCAATACGACGCCTGGATGCCATGGATCGAAGACACGTTCCTGAAGTACTTCACCAAGGACAATAGGACGAGCTACGTAGCCCGAGGTACGTAATCCCCAACACCCAACACCCAACACCCAATCTTGCTCTTCAACACTAACAGACCAATGAAAAAAAAAAAAAACAGACGGTCTCGAGAGAACCAAAGTAACAGGCATCGAACAAGTCGACAAGCTCCAGGACAGCACAAACGACCTAGCCGCGAGCCAGATCGGCCAGGGTGGTATCCTCGAACCCGTCGGCAACCTGACGTCCGAGGGAATGAAGCGCATGGATCCTCGACCCAAGAAGAGCGAAAAGAACAAAGACTCTGGCCCTGGCGGTATCAAGGTCCCTGTTGTTTCCGGGCTCGGTCTGTAAAGAATGGGGAAAGGAAAGAAAGAACGGAAATAGGGAATCAAGAGAGAAAGGAAAATACCTCGATTCTTGCGCCACAAGGGTCGGTGAAAGGTCGACGGGAGGCAGGGACTCAGCTGTCTCAACAGAATCATGATTATCTGTAATATATTCAAGGAAACGGGCTTGAAGGACATGGGGATACAACATGGACCGCACAAAGGCGTATGAGGGTACAAGGGCGCTCGACTATGTTAAATAAATCTGTAATAATTTTACGATGCGATTTCCATTGTTACTATTCGTAACGATAATATGAGAGTATGCTGATTTGCAGACCGCACTTCCCTTAAGCCAGGCTATTGGGAACCGGCTTGCATGCTACTAAACCCTGTCATCCACGCGAATTTGAGAGAAACGCGGTTTTATAAAAAACCGATACTTAACTTATTTTAGCTATGGAAAGTTGCTAAATCCTTCGGACATTCATCATCCACCATTGTGCCGCATCTCAACACTTGAATCAAACTCATAACAAGCAAGCTGTCTTCCTCGATGTGTTTATCCAAAACTGAACCTAACTCTTGAATGAAAAAGAGAATGCACCGAGTCAATGTCGAATCGATCTGCACCAAAAATCTAGAATGCAGGATGATTGTATCAGATCTCTAGATTCGGAATATTCCCAATTTGATAGCGAACGAGCCGAATGCAATGTATACTCTAGTCTAGAGATCTATGATGTACGAGATTCAACTGCAGATTTAATAGCTGTTTTTAAAGTGGTTAGCCTCTCGTGATCCATCCCTTGTACGGCGAATGGAATACTAACCATCGCAAGTTACTTTAGCATCACCGAAAAGCATCTTAGTTCCAGGCATATAGAACATCGGGTTTGGTACGTCCGCTATTGCATAGATTTTCATTAGCATACGTAATATTTCCGAGATGAGGTGCAATCATACCGTATCCAGAGGCCATTCCTCTCTTCATGACAACTACTTGCTTGCTCTTCCATGCATGAAGCACAGGCATACCAGCAATAGGGCTACCAGGCTCGAGGGCAATGGGGTTTACGGTATCATTCGCACCAATGACAAGCGTAACATCCGTATCGCCAAAATCATCGTTGATTTCGTCCATTTCCAGCACGATGTCGTAAGGGACACTGGCTTCCGCAAGAAGCACGTTGCATTGCCCCGGCATACGACCAGCAACTGGGTGGATAGCAAAGCGCACGTTAATTCCTTTGGATCGTAACATCTTGGTGATCTCGCTTATGGCGTACTGTGCTTTGGCCACTGCCATGCCGTACCCTACTACAATAATAACGTTTTCGGCATTGACAAGAGCGTCTGCCGTCTCATCAACGTTGGTTTGTACCACTGTGCCCTCAACCTTGAAATCTGTTGTTGCAGGTGCTGAAATACCGCCAAATAGGACATTAGTAAGCGACCGATTCATCGCAACACACATGATGTATGAAAGAATGGATCCGGATACGCCTATGAGGGCGCCAACAGAGGTCAATAGCGGATTTTCCAGCATGAACCCTTCAGCCACCAGAGCAAAACCGCTGTATGCATTGAGAACAGTAATGACAACTGGCATGTCGGCTCCACCTATGGCAGCTGTCGTGGTATACCCCTTAGCGAACGAGAGAATCGTATTGGCTCCCAACGCACAAGCAGCGATCATAGGTGACCCAGGTGCCATTGTGACAAAAGCACCCATGGTTGCGATGTTCGTGGCGAGCATGCCTGAGTTTAATGCGTGTCTCCCTCGAAGCACCAAGGGTTTGGACGACATCTTTCCAGCGAGTTTCAGAAAAGCCACAATACTTCCAGTAAAAGTGATACCACCTATCAGAACTCCCAGATATGCTGTCACCAAGTGCAGAGTGGTGACATGGTCGAGACTGCCCATCACACTCCCAATACTCGTCAATACTGCGGCCAGGCCAACAACAGAGTGTAGTGCAGCAACAGTTTGGGGCAGGTCCGTGGGGGTAATGCGTTTTCCAATGACAAATCCAAGAATACTGCCAATCGTAGCGAGAGCACCAAATTGGGTGAGAACCTCTGGGCTGAAACCAACAGCGAGCAGCGAAGCTAATACACCTGAACCCACGCCGAGAATACCGAGTAAGTTACCCATTCTAGCAGTAGCTTGAGTGGCTAAACCAGAGAGCGAGCTGATGCATAGTACGGAGCTCACTAAATAACCAGCTTGCACAAGTCCAGCAGCTCCAGTTGAAGCAGCAGCAAGAAAGCCACCGCCAAAAAGGACACCAGGGACAGCCCACAGCCAAGGATACTCAGGAGGGTCAGTTGGTCCTAATGTGCAGTCAGCATGAGTATTCAGGGGATTAGTAACCTGTGGGAATGTTTCATACTCTTGAACATGTCCAACATTCTCTTCGTGATAACGAAACCGCCAGACACGTTGACAAAAGCCAGAAGTACAGAAGCCGCACCGAGAGCCTGCGGGATAGTCCCGGGAAGATATCCGCCTCCCATCACAAAAAAGCCGCCAATGCCAACCATTCCTGCATCGAATTAGCCTTGTGCAAGCTTGATTTGAGTGATACTTACCAGATATGGCATTCGTGACACTCATCAATGGCGAATGGAGAGCCGGAGTCACACCCCAAACAACACGATATCCGATGAGAGAGGCGAGGGCGAAAGTAAAAGCATTCCCCATGAAGAGAGGGCCAGTTAACTTCCCAAGGGCTAGAGCACTGCCCATTCCAGCGGTTACAGCGGCAACTTCCCGCGATGTCTTTTGGAAAGGAGTCAAAGCAACTACGGCATCCTCAGGCTTGGGGGCAGCTTTGGGCGAAGGAGTAGGAGGCGGAGCGGGGCGAGGTGCAGGAGGCAGAATTTCACCATTAAGGGTGACGATCGAGCCTCGAACGACCTCATCGGTCAGGTCGATACCGAAGGACTTGTCTTTCGGCGCCATTGACAGTAGCAACTTCACAATATTGTTTGAATATAGCGTTGAGGATTGGGTAGGCAACCTCGATGGTAGATCGGTGTAGCCTATTGATCTCATGAGTAACAGGATGGTTTGAGCCGCGCATTTTACTTACCGATGATTTTCACATCGTTGTATGTGACCAATTTGCCAGGTTGTGTTTTCTCACAATTGCCACCCGCTTCAGCCGCCAAATCAACAACGACTGAGCCAGGTTTCATGACGTCCAACATGTC